GAAAGCTGGGCGGGAGGAAGAGAGCAATACCCCAACTGTGCTCCAGAGCACTGGGCTCGTCTCAAAAGCCGTCACTGCTCCAAAGCGGCAATGGATGCTGGAAGCAGCTCTTTAAAATTCAGCAGCCTTTGTGCCTGACCACACGCAGCGACCTCTGGTATTTTCTGCCAAAACAGTTCATTTGTCTCGCACAACAACTAATCAATTCCCGAGGCCATCCATCACGGGGACTCGTGCGAGCCGGCCCGGCAGCGGGGCCAGATGGCGGCTGCGTTAGTGGGATTAATACAATTCTGATAGATTACACGGCATCAGGCAGGCTCCCGAATACAAGGGGTGCCCACTCCACACCCCGATCCTAAACAGAGCCCCAGTCACGATCGGGGTTGCTCCCAAGTGTTATGGGAAAGGGTGGAAGTTTCTACCAGAAAAGGGGTTCTTCAGCATCCCTCAGGATGGCAGAAGTGTAAAGCATAACTCGGGGAGGCCTCCATGCCGACCGGCGGATGTCATTTCCATCCCGGCATGCCGAGGCCGCATGGAAGCGGCCCACGGCAGAGTGCAGGAGGGCTCCTCCACTGGAAGTGGAAAGGGACACGGACACTTGGCAACATTATTTCGCATTCTCCATCTGGCAAGTCAATGCTTTCGTTTGCTGGAAACACTTATAAACTGCCTCCCCCTCATCCCTGCTTTAAAAAAAAAATTGAAAAATAAAGTTGAATTTCCAATGCTACGGTATTTTTGGCATCTCCCTCAGTTTGTGTCTTAGATTAGATTTATATTGGTGACACATCAGTCAACCTCATCTCACTGCTCATTTCCCAGGTTTGTGAAACTGTAATTATAGCTCTTTGATCATGAAAGAGCTCAACTACTACTGCTTTTGTTCTGGTAATAAGACTAGAAAAGAGACATAAAGCTTTATGTAGCAGTAAAAAAAAAAACAAACCCTACCACTGTACCCAGCCTGAAATCACAGATAATTTCTAAATCCTTCCTTCCAGGGGATCCTCCAAGTCCCATCATCAGTCACCAGCACGCATTATTTTTATGTAATGCCCAAAGTGAGATAAGTGATTTGCAGAGAAACACAGAGGCAGAGCACTATGCTAATACATTCTGCAACTGCTCCCCATTAGTCACAGGGGGTACTTGAGCTCTTTATTGCCAGGGTTTATTAATGACTCCTAATTGATGACCAGTGCCCAGCACCCCAAAGTAAATAACTGCTACGCCTCATTAGCTCAAGAGACCTTCTCCTGATTTGAGGATTGATCTATGAACACACAAATTGCACTGATTTAACCGAATCTCTTTCTAAATTGATTTAATTAGATCGGTATAACCTGTTTCTGTGGATGCTCTTGAATTTATTTGGAATCAGTGCAATGTACTTCTGTGAGCCAGACTGACCATTTTTCTATCTTGTTCTCAAAGCAGAAACATTTGAGATAATTAGTGATAAGGCAAAATTAGCCCTGGCACCATCCCAGTTCCTCCAACATCTGATCCACCTGACTTTAGGGTAGGGTATGGTAACTTCACTTTGTCCAACATTTACAGATTTGCACCCTAAAACCCAAGCATTTCATTCCACAAAAGGAATGTAAGCATTGTTTATACATAATTTTAGACACTCAGCTTGAAAGCAATGGCATTGCTGCGTTGCTTGGTAATTTACTGCTGATGGTAAGCTAGTGGTTTACGCTAAAAACAAGATCTCTCATCTTCCTATTACATAGCAGCAGCTTGGAGAAGGTTAATCATTTGTTAAACTGTTCAAAAGCTTCTGGTAAGAATAAAATAACTGAACCTGCTTAGGTGAACCTTCAAAACTCTGCACTTGCATTCTTGTCCTGGTGCAAGGCGAGGTTGCGACGATGCCGGGCTCCAGATAAATTAGACAGCCTTTTCCTGCCTTTGCATCAGCGGAATCCTAAAGGGCATATGATAGGCTGTGTTTGGCAGAGTAATGCCTGCTGAGGAATTGCTTTCAGCAGTCTGTCAAAACCCAGGGCTGGTGAGGACTCAAGTTTTAGTTTTCAGTACACGAAATGAGGGTTTTTTTTGCTTATTCCAGGCTTCCTTAATATGATCCTGTAACTAGAAAATATTTATCCTATCAACAGCCCCGGGAAACAGAGACTAAAGTGGTTTGATTCATATTCCAAATTTTGCAAGCTTGTTGTAAAGCTTCAGTAAGGCCCACCACAGACAACTGAGTCAATAAAATAGTCTGCATCAAAGTTTCTTTTCTCGGATCTTAGGTTTCGAGGTAGCATACACACACACACACACACTGAACGTTCAGCATGGGACTTACCTGTAACTGTCAATGTGTTTAAGTTTATGCTGGCTCAAGCTATTAAGTTTTCTTTCCCCTTAAACATTTTCATTTTCTTCCTCTACAGAAAATGCCTTGCTTTTTTAAGACTACATTCTATTCACAAATGCACTGAAGTATTGCTGAATGCTAACCTTATGTTCTTGTTCACAGCCTCAGAAAAGTCACTCTTCTCAGGTGAGTGGTATTACTATCAAACCAATTCACTCCATGCTCTCAATAAACTTGAATGCCAAATTGAATGTCTAGAGCCATCCTTCTTTGGCTCATCTGCTTGCAGATTTTGTACGACTGCTATTTCGCCATTTAAGGTCTTGCTTTCACTATTTTAATTGTGACCATTAGAGATGCGCCTATCCTTGCACACATTTATTCCCTATTCTAGTAAAGGAACGAACAGTAGACAAAAGCCATAATAAAGGGGCAACTGCACCAAGAAAGCTGAAGCTGTGCAACCTGCCTGTGGGTGAGACTATGATGACACTTGCTGACTTCCTATCTTGCAGCTGAAGACGCTAATGCCTGCGAGCCAAGCTGTGCAAATGGACCACGAGTTTCCATTCTGCCAGCAGAGTCAGGAGACTTCATTTAACTCACTTTCAGCAGAACCACCCTATTCCAGCCGTGTCAGAGACTACATCTGCCTACAGCCTCATTTTGTAAGGACTACTACTATGCTATACTAAACATACAGCGCATGTGTTCCTCATGGTATGTTTGCAAAAGTATTTGGAGCTGTACTTATCTTCAAGTCCTGCACAAGTCATGTTCTCATGGAAATAAAACCAAAAATATAACAAGAAGATTTAGACTAGTCAAGCCAACCAGAGCAAACTCTGTTTTCCTGTATATTGGGCTGTATTTCATATCGAAGAAGGGGCACAGGCAGTACTTGGGATAGCCAAGACTCTGAAAGCACTGCAGGACTAAGCATAGCTCATACTTAGCACCCAACACGGGGCAGCACTGATATGTTCCACTCCTAAAAGAAGAGCTCGAACAGGATTTAAACCACAAGGTCAAACTATGAGAACAAGGATGTTGGCCGAGACCCACACCGACAGAGCAGGGAAGAAAAAGGAGCGTGTGGCTAGCAGAAGTGCTATTCCTCAAACAGCATGTTAAACCAAGGTCATACCTGACCACCTCCGGTCAAGGTCCAGGGGCAAGTTTAAGATGTGTTGGCTCTCCATGCAAGGCAGAGAGGGCTACTCCCAGCCAACTGTTCCATCTCGCTATAAAGCGGATTGCAACACTGAGGGAAGCGCCTGCAATACTGCCGAGCACAAAACTGCCACCCTATTTGCTTGCACGGAACAGCCATATCAACTTCTACCCGAGCTCCTTGCAAAGGGGTTCGAGCCACCTGCTCAAGATTTATTTTTCATTAGTTTGTGACAACAAGTCAAAGAAATGCTGTGTTAAGAGTTGTAACACTTCGGGAAAGTTCCCGGCAAGCTTGGGGAGGCTGTGTGTACACAAATCAGTGTTTATCTTTTAATTTCCTGGGACTAAAATGATGCAAGACATTCAATAAAACAAATGGGATCACATACACATAAATGGGTGACTGCAACATGACAGCAAACACTGCTCAAAAATTTAGTCTTCCCTGACTGTTCATTTTAACTAAAAATACGATGCTGTATTCTGAAAGATCCTCCAGGCAATCATTTAGGTATTGGAGTTAATATTATACCCATGATTAGTAGTCTGGAACAGTAAAAAACCAACCAAACAAGAAAACCCAGCTGTCCTTATTCAGTAGCTAATGTCACTTACTACTTGCACCTTGACAGTTTTTAAATAGCAGCCATTCTAGTTCAGTAAATGCATTTCTGCTATGCTAGCTGCAGAAGCTAGAAAAAATTAATTTGATATAAGGTACAAACTCTCCCTGAAGGCCATTGTCCAACATTAAAACCTTCACTGAACAACCCTTAATGAATATATTGGTAAAGAAATAACTATTTGAAAAAGGTAGTGTCTGAATAGGTTTCTATTAAAAATATCCAACATTACCTTTTTTTAGCCATATAACTGAAAAATGGGAAGCCTTGCCCTTCCCCCACATCTTGCGCTAGGGAAAGGTTACTACCTGGCAATGATACAGACAGTTATTGATTTAAATGATTATGGACCTGAAAAGTTCTTTCCTGTCATTTATTATGCTGTTGTAGTTGCCACCACGCTTGTGCAATATTAAAAAAAAAAAAAAAAAAAAGTTAAAAAAAAAAAAATTAAAAAAAAATTTTTTTAAAAAAAACTGAAGGCCATTGTCCAACATTAAAACCTTCACTGAACAACCCTTAATGAATATATTGGTAAAGAAATAACTATTTGAAAAAGGTAGTGTCTGAATAGGTTTCTATTAAAAATATCCAACATTACCTTTTTTTAGCCATATAACTGAAAAATGGGAAGCCTTGCCCTTCCCCCACATCTTGCGCTAGGGAAAGGTTACTACCTGGCAATGATACAGACAGTTATTGATTTAAATGATTATGGACCTGAAAAGTTCTTTCCTGTCATTTATTATGCTGTTGTAGTTGCCACCACGCTTGTTGAAATATTAAAAAAAAAAAAAAAAAAGCTTAACAAAATGACATTAGAAAAATACTGTTTTTAACTCAAGTCCAGCGCAGATAATCACCTGATTGTTTCTTCTTGATACAATGAGCTGACAACTGGGCCTCCAAATGCGGTTTTGCTTTCTTTTCCCCTCTTCTCTGTTGTCTGAAAGAAAAAGAAAGATTGGTCCAGCATCCTGGCTCCCATCCCATTCCAGCCTGTGCCACCCCTCAGCCACCCCCCACCCCTTCCCCTGCCCCGGAGATGGGATCAGCCCTCTGGAAGCCTCATCCGCACGGCAGACGCTACCCCATGACCCCACTCCATCCAGAACAGCTGGATGGATCTCTCAGCAAACCGGATCAATGCTCCTCTGAAGGTGGCCCGGAAGGGTCACCCCAAAGGTAGGCTGGGCAGCCTCGCCATCCCGCTCACGAGCCAAAGCGTTGCCTCCGCAGCACTCCCAGCCATGGCCCCTTAGGACCCAAAAGGCGAGCCTCTGTGAGGTAGCATAATGTTACGTTACTAGATTGCAAAGCTTGCCTTTATAAATCTATTTAATATAGATTTAAAATTAAATTTTATAATGGGCAGCATTTCCAAATGATTTACTCCCAGGAACTCTAGGATTCTGAATGATTCCCACCATAATAGAAATGAACAATTAGAATAATGATTGATCGATACGGAGCCTCGGGCCTACCTTTTCAAAAAAAACATCCTGCAGCTTGGGGTCTTCAATTGGCTGACTTGACATTGATGCCAGACTTTCAGAAAGGGCTAAGTGCCTGCTGTCTGAAAGCCTGACCCTATTAGGGGCTGCAGGGCACCAGAAACCCTAACTCTTCTAGGGCATCTAGTATCTTAGTCTTCAGGTAAGCAGTCAAAACTGGTTTGCAGTTCACAGCAGTAATTCGTTATAAAACCAGCCCATTAACTGCAATGTGCTGTTGTCAGTGGACAGTTCTGTGGCTTTCTGCAATGAGACATTATCACACCCAGGATGAATAAAATCAGAAGCAAAGGGAAAGCCGTCCCAACCTCTAGCAGTCTCTGAGTAGCTGCAATACATTGCTGATTACACCAAAAAGCACTGCTGCCTCATCAGAATTCTACCTAGGAAGATGTTGATTTTTTTTTTTTTAAATGAAACATGCTTACATTTGTCTTTCTTCCTGCTCCCCAGGTTGCTTTTGTTTTAAATCAATTTACCGTTTCCCCATAATACCTTTACTTTTACATTCTGCCCAGTTTGAGCCAACCAGTTCCACCTTTCAGCTCTGCTGTACCAGCCCCAAACCGTAATATTTAGATTTGCAGATATCAGAGACATACTTCTTTATAAGAAAAAATGGAAAGGAAACTGGCTTTGAAAACTATTCCATGGCAAGTAGGCTTTCTCTAATTTAGAGTAAAAGGTGACACGAAGTTCTCCTTTCCTGAAGGGAAAGGGCTTCAGAGTCTCTACAGTGCAATGCCTCTCTTAAAAAATTATTTAGCAGAGAACCTTACTGTCCGTCAATTATTTCCACACCACTTATAAAGAAAATTAATTTCAGATCATCTGCTAGTACATGCAAGAGTTATTTCTATAAAATGAAGCTATACTCACAACTAGTCTATCTTCTTTGATATTGAGGGACAGTGGTCACACAACCAGTATCAGAAACTACAGAAAAAAATTTTAATCCACATTCTTTCATCTCTTCCCACTGCAGTTTTTGGGTATTCCTTTTTTTCAAAGTCAGAAACAACACTGGAGAAAATACATTTCATCTTTCTAGAGGCAGGAATTGTAAAAAAGGTTTCTTGGATTAAGTTCACCTTCCTTGCACAACCAATGCATTTCCACCAAGGATTAATCATGTTGATTGAGTACACATAAGGTCATCGGCAGACTTAGCGATAAAGGCTTTCCCAAAAATGCTCAGGCAAAAACTTCTCTGGCTTTTAATCCATATACAGGTTACTTTGTCCAAGTAGCTTTTATCTCATCTCTTTCACACAGAAATAGGTAACTCAATATTCAATTTATGAATGTTGAACCAAGCTTATTCCATCACAGTCCTCAATATGTAGAACAAGTTTATGAAAAACGTACAGGAAAAGTCTCGGCTATCCTCTCAGGATTTAATGCGTGCCCCTACTCTGCAATGCCATGGAAGACAGCATCATGGCTCCACCGTTCATCACCACTGGACTTCCCAAGGGGAAGCTGTCCAGGCTATGAGGAATACTTCTTCCCAAAAACGTTAACTCTGCCTCAACGCCGATACAAACTGGTTTCTTTCCAGCCGCCGCTGACAACTTGCCTATACCATGAGCTCATCTGCCCACTTCCAATATCTACACTACCCAGCCTGCCAGGGACTCGCACACAATATCTGAGCATGATGTACCAAACTGGGTAATGACAGAGGTGGGACAGAAGCGGTTGCTCCTTCCAAACCACATCACAGCTATTATGCTAACAGGAACCAGTGTTTTTATTTGTTGCTCATACTGGCTGAAGGGATCAGTAATGTGCAGATGCACTTTCCTTAAATCTCTTGACATTTCCACAGCAGAAAAGGGCTTTTAGGGCTGGGAAGATAAAGGAAACGCTACATATACACAGATAATGACCAGTGGGTTTAAAGTCACATTAGCTTGCAAACCATAATGAAATTAAAAACTGACACTGCACATTCTCTCTCTCCTCCTTTAAAAAAGGCACTAATAATTAACTATGTGGCTCTCAATTAAGCCAGCTCAATTTCTTTCACTGCTGGCAGTGCTGTCCAAAAGCACTGCAGATATACATGTAACTAATGATAGTGAAGAAATAACATGATCCCAGGCTCCCATAATTTGCCACCTGAATCCGAGAGAGATGACAGCAGCATTATCCACAGTCAGGACCGGGCAAGAGAGATGCTGTAGAAAAGGCAAAATTACCGTGGGCTCCACGAGTGTGAGGGGGTTGCCCTCAAACTGCCAGTTAAAAACCACGGGAATAAAGGGGAATTTGTGACAGCACGGGAAGACACCTTGGAGGATTGCACTTGAGTGCCAAAGCACAGGCAGCGGCACGTAAGAGATCCAGGAAGAGATGATAAAGAAGCGTAAGAGATGCCTTAAGGGAGGCACCGGAATTTCTCGTGTTTTCCCCTCACTCTTGCCCATGGATTCTTTGTTGCTCGTGTACAATTAAGGCTGATATCAAAGCCACTATTACTCTTGACAGTTAACTTTGGTAGGTGGATCTGGTTGACCAAAGCTAGCATAAATCACGAGCAAATATCTGCTTCAGTATGCAGCATACGTACTCATTAAGAGACATTTTCAACTCCCCTGACTCCCGAGGTGCTCGCGGACTGGCACAGGGAACTCCACTAAGCCCAGAACTATCCTTCTCAAATGTCACCAGGAATCCCAGGAAAAAAGCCGCACTCCTCCCGGAACAGACAGCAGAGCATCCTCATCCCTGCCTCAGTGCACTGTATTTGTCAATAAAAGACCGGCTCGATTCAAGGTACAATCGCATCTCGACTGGCTGTCACTGACAATGCTGCTCCAGACGGCCTCAAAGCCTGACAACCACTTTCTGAACAAAATGGAAATACAGGGACTAATATTTGCTAACACCATTAATTCATTTTTTTCTCCACTCCCCCTTCTTCCTTTATCCACAATGTCAAGATGTATACTTTTAAATTGTTGTCAGCCATAAAACAGACGTCGTGTCCCAGTTCAGAGGTTAACATATAATGACAGACACATTAAAAAACCCTGTCCAATGCCTCAACTGAAAATTTTAGTTCCATCTTCTCTTCAACGAGACAGGAGCTCAAACTCACTTACAAGCTTTAACAACATTAAAGTCTAATCATGATTGAAAAATAAAGGAGAAAGAGAAGATAGCTTTATCATACCAAGCATTATGGAAACGAAAAACAATTAGAGACAAACATTTTCTTTGTGAGGGTTTTGAGGTCACCTTCTATTTTGGTCTTAAAAGTCTCCCATGATCACAGCACGATCCATTTCTCCTTCTGCGTTTTTGGAGAGCAGGATGAAAATTATCACCTAAGTGAAAGAGCGGTAGTTCCCTGTCGGGGGTTGGTTTGGTGGGCCAACCTCTTGCTATATCCCTGAAGACAGGACAGGGATTTATTATTTCCCATCTCCGAGCCCAAGCTTTGTTCCAATCTACACAAAACAGGCTACACCAGATTTAACAAGATGGTACTTCCAAGGGCCCTTCCGATGACTCACTTCAAACTCATGTGCCAGAACTCGTTATAGGGAACTTCTCATCGGTGATTAGCTGGGACTGAACTGGACCAAATGGTACACAGCTATTTTAGATGTAGGGCAAGGGACTCATGAATGTGACAGAAGGAAAGGTACAGAGAAGTCCTACAAAGACAGTACAAAACAGCAGGA